GTAGTGGCAATAATAAAACTAAAGACTAAACTGTGGGAATATGATTTGGGAAGACAGTGGAAAATTATGTAGGAAAGGGTACTGGAACTCAAGATTAAGATGAAGACAAAGAGGGAATGCACCCGTGTCGTTGCGAACGATTCTATATCATATCACCTGAAATTATCAACCACTGGCCGAGGTTATCGTGTTGATCCCAACCAGGTATTCTGAATCTACCAACATAGCTCAGACGGAGAGTCAATGATGTCATAGACTGATACCACGTATTGGTTTAGTCCCCCAAGCTTTCTCCCAACCTAATCCTACATTCGGCAGCATCAGTTTCTATTTATTTATTTATTTGAACACATATATATTGATACAAAGGGGCACCAGAAATATATGCGCCACATAATAACAATGAGAATGTGAAAAAAAAGAATGCTAGATGCGTATAAGAAAAAGGGGAACAACAGTGAACAAAAAGTAGTATATGGTAGTGAAATAACAATAATGGGAGGGGCAGTTCAGTTAAGAAAGGTACAACCAGAAAGAATTCTCCCAGTCAAAGAAGATACATACATTTATTTATGAAGAAAGTAAAATAAATTTACAGCAGGATCACCATTGGCTTCTATTATGAGCCATATCTGATAACGTGTCTAACCACTGTTTTACACCATCGCTCGGACCACAACCACGGAGTCGTGAAGGACCAACACAAGCCAGCCCCTTAACAGCTTTCTTTCATATCACGACAACTTACCATACACTGACCACCTCTCCGCTTTTTCCAACTAGTCCCGGAGTCGACAAATAATGCACGACGTAGAATTCTCTGGGATGACATTTGTGCAACATGTCCAAGCCACCGAAGTCGGTGTTTCAAGATGGTGACACCAATTGCATTATCGTCTCTGTATCCGAACACACGATACCGAACTTCTGCATTACTAACATGGTGTTGCCACTGGATGTCAGCAATCCTTCGGAGGCAACGATGGTCGCACATCCTCAACTCGGATGGGCCAGGTTTCACAAGCATAGAGCAGAACTGCTCTCACCAACGCGTTGTAGATCAGACCTTTCACAGCCAGACTGACATCACGAAGGCGCCAAAGATGACTCAGATTAGTATAAGCCGCTCTGGCTTTGACTATACGTGAATCGATTTCATCACTCACACCACTAGCAGAACTTATCGCTCAGTAAGGTAATATTATCCGCATACTCAAGGCTGAGAAGTCTTTCTGCAGGAGCAAATCCACACCGTCATTACCTACACCCAACAGAGCTGTTTCCAGAATGTTATCGATGGCAAAGTTGAAGAGGAATGGTGAGATTGGGTAACCCTCTCTAACCCCACTGCTCGAATGGAACAATGGAGAGAGGTAGTTGTATGCTCTCACTCTGTCTGAGGTGTTTGTATATGGGGCTTTTAGGATGTTAATAAACTTCTCAGGCACACCCTTCTTCAATAGACAATCCCAGAGAACAGTCCTGTTCAACCAATCGAAGGCAGCCCTGATGTCAAGAAACACTACGATTGTTGACCTTTGATAAGTATGACGGTGTTCTAACATTTGGAGGAGGGTGAAGATATGATCACCACATTCTCGACCAGAACGAAAACCAGCATGCTCCTCGCGAGTCAATCTTTCTGGGGTTTTGAACAACCTACGAAGTATGACGGAAGCCAATGGTTTGGACGCAATCGGAAGTATATTTATCCCCCGATAGTTGTTGCAGGGACGACGTGAACCCTTTGTAAAGATAGGGACAACTATCGACTTATTCCATGACGTTGGTACACTCTCTAGCTCCCACACCTTTGTAAACAACACAGTCAATTCCTTAGTCAGGAAGTCACCATCATCTTTAAATAGGGCCGTAGGTAGGTCATCTGGACCCGGTGACTTGTAACGCTTCAAAAGTTGGAGTTCTTTGAGGACTTCCGCCTCATTTGGTGGATCAGTCGTCACAGGCCACGGAGGGGAGGGTAGTCTGATTGGTGTTGCCGGAGCAGCAGGCCAGTTGAACTGCCCTTCAAAAAATTCTGCCCATCGTCCAAGACATCGATTGATGCTAGTGATTGGCACCCGGTCATCTTCACAGATTGCTCCAGTCAGTCAGTCAGTAACAACGTAGAACTTCGTACGTACGTACATCAGTTCGAGTTGCCACACCACATTAGCACAGAGATGCAGTGGTCGATTCAAATCCCGTAGTGGTAGAGGTAATAAGAGTATAAGCAGTAATCGGGAAGATTAGTGTTTGGAGATGTTACTTAAAGAGTATAGTACAGTGAAATAAATTTGGGGAGAAAAAAAAGAGACAAGGAGGAATAAGGATATCAAAATTTGGGAGAACACAAAGAGTGTATGCACCTGCGCCATTGCAAACGATTTTGAGCCATGTCATTCAGGGTCTCTAACCATCGATTGCTACGCTCACACCAGACTTCCTGCCCGTGGCTCGGATGAGTTGAAAGAGCTTCCGGCAGTTACCAGATGCGGCTGCTGCTTCCAACTCATTAGCACGCTCCTACCATCAAGCTTCTCGGTCTTTACGCAAGCTTTGCCCAATTTCATCACTAAATGAAGTTAAGCATATATAATACATGTCATTCTAAATTTATAATTAAAGTACTGAGTGAAAATTTAGCTGCCTATGTATAGTAAATTGACAGGGGCTACAGTATATCATGTTTTCTAGGATCTGTCTCTAAAAAATGGTTTGTGATCAAGTGTTTGAATAATAGGATGTAAAAAACATGCGAATCAGACCAATTATTATGCCAACTACGTCTTTTTACATACTGAACTGATTGGGGTCGATAGACTTATCTCTGATTTATATAAACTAAATAGCAACTCACTTCATTCAACCAGTAATATTAGACCATCATATTTTAAAACTACTGGGGACAACTCAATAGCATTTTTCGTATTTAGGCTTACCACAAACGTTGAAACAACAGTAAGAAGTAAACAAATGATGCATCAATTAGTGTGGCTGAGATATTGGAGAAGATTTGTAGCTCAGGTGGATGGTTTTTATAGAGTTTTGTTCTCTGAGATAGATGGTTTGGTCATGAAGATTTCATCGTTCTTTTGTCAAGTAAATTTCTACCTGAAGTTTGTGCTGATAATGTCAACTTCGTTGACAAATATTATCTGATGGCCATGTGCCTAGTCAGAAGAAATAAGTGCGGTATTTTTATATGTAGTAGTGGAATATTAACTGGATTGATGTACGTATGTAATTATACCGCAACTACCTAGAAAGGCGTTTACGAAAACACAACTGGGCGGCTTGATATCCTCTAATCCATGAACTTCGCCGTATCATAAAGCGAAAAACAGCAATCGGTTGTCAGTAAACAAAGTTCCAAAACAGAGACACACAAAACGACACCAAAGTTCCAAAAACTTAACAAGAGTTTAGATTGCCATTGCTCAAAAGCTATAACGAAAAGAAAACGGCAATGGGATTTCGAAATACACGATAATTATAAACATCAGAGACTGGGCTTTCCCTTCCTTATAATGATTGAAAATATCCGACGTGTTTTTGTCTGTCAAATATAACATATCTTAGACATTATTTCTTCTAGTATCTATACTTAGTAAAAAATGAAACAGCTAATTATATTGACCGATTTTAGTTTGCAGTTGCATCAAACCTGATACACTTTTTGACGACTAAATAAAAGTATGAATAGAAGATATAAGCTAGACGTTTGCCAGCTTACACATACTTTTGAGTAGACAAGATATCCCCTTGCCTAAAATAGACCAGTATCGTCTGTATTAATAAACATTTATTTTGTAGAGATTTTCTGTTATCAGCGCTTACTCGGATTTGAAACCACAAAACTTAGAATTTATCGAATGGCTAAACCTTTATATTCACTTCTTATTTATAATACAAGGATACACTTTTTGGAATGGTACATCTTGGGAACACCTTTGACAGGCAGTGGAGAAGCTAACTAAAGAACCTTAAAGCAGGATTAAACCTAAGAAGAGCAATGAACAGGAAAGGCACGTAAGATATATTAAGCACTTAGAGCTATTGTTTGTCACCGTTGGATATAATGCTGATACACGAGTAGATCCAACTAGTGTTGAGGGAGACTACCATTTCAATCACAGTATTCGCTTCTCTGTCAGTAACTTGTGCACGTATTTAGTTGACCAATTCTGCAAGAGAACATAAATGTAGCTACTCATCATGGCGTATCAATATTTTTTCAACTTTTTCCTAGCTCTGATTGTGTAATGGATAAATAAACCGAAAACACACACGAGTGCTTGTAAGTATCGTATTTCCGGAGATAGATGGTCTAAAATGACCATAAAAAATTAGCATTTACGAATCATTAGAGATCACTAGCTAGACTATTCTTTTCTCATTCTTCTTAGTCATCTTTTACTGAATGTGGAACTTGCTTGCAGAACACTGACGTAAACGTTTGTAAAGATGTTATTCACTTGTAGAACCCTACCCCCAAATGGAATTATCTGATTTTCGAACAGTCGTACGATCTTCAGATAGCAAAGACTTGTAGCTAGTAAGTTATATTATGTCTCACTATCAGTGATACCACTACTACTTCACTTCGTCAAATTCATTTCACTGTGATGACAAGTTATGATAACTTGAGATGATGTAAGTTTGTCAAAGGTTGCATGTTGGTTACAAATGGCTGACAACCAACATTACGCGAAAGCGACGAAAAATCATTTGTTATTTTAGCGTGTAACTCAAAATAACTTGGGCAGTAATAATAAATCCAAGGTCAAATGTATTTTTATAACATTATTCAGGAGAGTTGACCATCCCAGATTATAATTAAAAGCAATCTAGTAACAACTAAGAACATACACTTGACTAAAAACGCTCTCAAAAAATAATAATTCTTAAAGCTACCTAACTATAAAGTGGAGTCAGAGTGCATTTTTAGTTTCTAGGAGAAACACTGAAGTATTTAAGTCTATATAATCCTGCCTGACCTGGTGGAGCACTTTCATTGCAATGAAAGCAAGAAAGATGACTGAAACGAGTTACTAAATGCACGAATAACCATAGAAACCCCGAGTACTGAATTCCAACTTGTTGAATAACAAAAACAGGCATTGCTTCAATGTAATTTGAATTAACTAATTTCGGAACCAACAGATACAGTTTACATTGTCAACGAATGCTGTACCATTTTGGATTAAATTCTATAGATGAAATAAATACTTAAATAAGAGGATCTGACAGTAAGATTGGATACACTATAAACTTACATAACGTTTAGTTAAAAATAGTAACGTTACGATTTGAAAACCACGGGTCTATTTCCCGATTTTTAAAACAAACTCTTAAATTGGAAGATTCTGACTTAAGAAATGCTTCCCAGAACGTCTCACAAATTATGATTTGTGGTGAGCATGGTCTTCTCTCATATGTGTGAATATCCAATTGACCAATCAGTTTCTTGCCCATCATTCCATAGTTCGAGTAAATATATTCTTTATCGTATTTTAGGAATGTCTTCGTTTCCCATAGTTTAAAGTCCCTTCCTATGACAGAAACTGCAAAGTCTCACTTGAAAAGAGTATGGGATTCTATGAAAAGATCGCGCAGATTTGATCGTGACAACTTGGATACTCCTTTGAAAAGATGTCTAACAGCTTTCGACCTTACCCTTTTGGGTATAGGTAATACAATTGACCCTTACTTCATATTTCTTGTTCTAAGGAAATATGGCAGGAGCTGGTATTTACGTCCTAACTGGTACAGTAATCCGTGACAAATCTGGACCGTCTACTTTTTTGTCATATTTGGTTGCTGGTGTAACAGCTTTCTTAAACGCTTTGTGTTATGCTGAGCTTGGTTCGCGAATACCGAAGGTAATTCTAAGGTATTTTCTGTTCAGTTGTTCTCAATTCATTATTTTATTAGTAACTAGTTTATAATGCTTTTAATAATCGTGTTTTATTTGAAAACCTAATCACTATTTTCGCAACGTAAATCAACACAAATATCTAAATCTAACTCTAATATAGATAAAATATTTATCTAAGGAATAAATGTTTCGAAAATAATTCCTAATCTCTAGAAACGTTGCTTTCCATTTCTTTGAATTGTATTTAAATATTTAGGACATCTGTAATATTTCCATTGTTTTTCCCAAGGTTACATTTAATATTTGCACGGCAAATTTATTTTAGATGATTAAGAGAGCAAATAGGTTTGTTTTAATCATCAACATTTGTACTATCCGCATCATCTGAGTAAAGTTACTGGTATTTTGTTAAAATATTATCATGCATTTCACCTCCATTCCTTGTGCGCTATATTCTCGGTACAGCCTCACAGCGAATACAAAGATTCCTATTCTTATTTAAATGTCAGTAAATGAGAAAATTCACATTGTTTGTAATTGTGAAAATAAAATGCAGTGAACATCCTCAGTAATTTGTAGAATAACAATGCAGAACCTTTAAGTGTTTTGTAAAATCACATTGAAACCAGTAATTGTAATCGATAGTCATCATGATAATTTTTAATGCAGTTGACTTTTAGTATTTAGTTTGGTATCATTGGTAACGGAATTCATACAAGAAGTCAATTTATAACTATGCTTGATTTTGACTAAATAGCCTTGGATCGGATAAAATCTTTCACCAGTGAATTCATAATATCTTCCGTATGAAATGTGAATGTGTTGGTCTAGAACTTTAGAACATACCTATGACGTTATTGTTGCTGAGTTCTAATGTGGAGTAAAATGATAGTTCAATATTTTCTGGTTTTCAGTACTTTTATCTGTGATTAAAACAACATTTAATCTAATGTAGTCATGTGTAAGTTGCTATAAGCTGATGAGTAAAATTTAGTGGCCAAAATTTCACATGGGTGATAATTAAGATAACGGAATCGATCTCTGAATTCTTTTGTATTCACATGAGTTTGATTTACACTTATAAGTTTTGGTATTATCTGCTGTGTTTAAAAAAATAACTGCTCATATGGTAGTAAAATTGCCTGACAACTGTGGGTATATAAACTAGAAATTCACCATTAACCGTACATTCAAGTATTAAAACATTATGTCACTTTTCTATCTCTTCCATCTGAGCCCTTACAGATGATAAATATTTCGAACATGACAATCTATGGGCTGAAGTGTTTACCAAATATAATCAGCTTCAGATAAATAGTGCTATAGATATTTAAAATTACATAGACCTTAGTGATAAATAAGTACAGTTTGGTAGTTCTGAATATATTCCCTCATTTCACAATCTCATTCATTCTACTTTTAAAACCTAGCTTTAAAAATAAGGGTAACTTGGGTTCGGGTCTTTCATAAATTTTATTTATCTGAATTAGGAATTGTGTTCGTTGTTCAGGTATTCGAAAAACAAATGTTTTTATTACTACTGTTTATCCAAGATGCCATGAAAAAGATATATATATATAGCAAACAATAAACAACTAATTAAAAAACATAGTCCAAAAAATGTAGGAAAATATTTTTCATCCTAACGACGATTTAGATCATTTGAACAAATCAATAGGTAAATCCTAGTCTTATTCATATCATAGTAGGAATTGAATATGAGATTATATTAATGACAGATGAGATGAAATCCAAATAAGCATGCAACTAATAATCAACATTATTTTATTATTTAGTTATATTAGTTTCAATCAAAATAAATATTAGTTCAGGTTTTCGGTAGATTCAAACGGGAATAGCAATTCTCAAATCAATAATTTGTAATTAAGGTTTAATCGATAAATTCATTTACATGTTGGCTTGCAAATCTGAGGCCAGGGAGCAGATTCATTCATTATACAGTTTAGAATTTGTCTGCATAATATCAGTTCTCAATGAAAATTTCTTTCTTTCATGTTTTTTTTTCGAAAATACTTGCTGAACTTGGCCTAACTTTTTCATAATAATTTTGTTTGTGTTTCGGGCTGATATTTTGTTTTTCTAAATCTCAAAATACTGTCTAATTTGCATGTTAATTAATTCATTTTTACATTCACATTACATCCTGCATATAAGCAATACATGAATTTAATTACAAATTCAAAATACATATTGAGATAGGTTTGACATTACTGAAAAATTTGATAGTGTTTCTGATCGTTATTGGGTTGTAAGCGCTAAATTCTCTAAAATATGGCTCAACCGATATACCAATCTAATCATAAACTTCCTAACAGGTTATGCTTGCAATCATTACTTAGAGTCAGATAAACTTCATAAATTTAACTCAACAATCCTTATTGGTATTACAGTGTTCGATTGTAAGACGAAGCCTGCTTTTGTACAAAGCTCACCCTTCTTTAATACTTATTGTTTTAGGCTGTTGATTGTTTCATATTTGAAGTTTTCATGATGATTGTCTGCAAATGGAGGTATTGAAGTTGTTAAACAGACGTTATTCCTTATGTGTACTGTCGTTAATGAAATGATTCGAACTATATAATCACCTTCCCAAGTGTTATGATACTAGTCTACTGAATTACTGTGCACACTTGATACGTAAAAGGCTATTAAATGAGACCTTGATTTGTTCTTTAATATATCTGATTCATGCTGCATACCTAAGTTTCTTGAAAAATTACCTCACTTCATCATTTTTGATTACATCTTTCTACTTTAATTGTGAGATGGATAATCATCATAGCATCTTATTTTAACAACAATAACAGCAAACATTCTTAGCTCATTTATTATCGTCGCTTTTACTATCGTAAAACTCCCATGTGGCTGCAACAAATCCAGACCGGTAATTGTTTTATACTTGACCTTGAACTATAAATAAACTAGTGAATTTGATGCGCATAAACATCACGACCATAAGGTTAGTATTCCCTTCGCATGTGTAACTAAAACAACCATTCAATTCGTGTGTATATTTATTTCTGTATTTTACTGCACACAGTATGAAGTAAATAATCATCATATAAGCCGAGACTTTGTAAATTCTGGTTCACTACTAATTTGATAAAACTGTTAGTATTATATAGCGGAACATCAGGAAAAAAAATCTGTTTTGTTATTCACGTATAGGAAAATACAAATTTCTAATTATAATGAATAACATTTGCCTAATGCCCAAAGTTTTTCAAACTATTGAATCTAAACGTGATTTGGACACAGCAAAACAATCATGTTATTTGTTTTTTATTTGTTATTATTTCCATTAATGAATACTACATGCAAATCAGTCAGCCATAAGCAACGTAAGACATGTAAAAGGATTATTGAACTAGCTTTTAATATATATATATATATATATATATATATATATATATTTCATCTCAGTATGAGGCTGTGGAAATTGTCGAATTTCATTGAAATCGTGAAAATATCTAGGTTAGGCCACCACTGAAACCTGGAGGCACTGGACGGTTATTTCGCGCTAGTATGGGGCTACTCAGGGTTATGCATCCACGCACTCGCAAACGGGAAACGAAGCCAAAACCTTCAGTCTCGCGCACGAACGCCTAAACTTTAGACCATTGGTACGCCATGTAGTTGTGCTCAAGTCTGACATAGATTCATCCATGATTTTGGTTAAATTCGACAATCTCCATACTGACGACTATCACCTGCTTGCTTAATGACTAGCTTCGACAAGGAACTTCCGTAGTTATATTGAAAAGCCATGACCAGCGGAGCTAAACTGTGACAGGTCTTAAGTAGGTACCCACTTAATACGATGAAATATGGTCGTGCAATATCGTGGATTTATTTAATTTAGACTTGTACACCACTAAATGCAGGCTCAGTAGTGTAGAGGTTAAGCGTTCACGTATGGGTCTGGAAGTCTTGGGTTCTAGATGCATGATGATAAAACGGATCAGAACAAGTCAAACGTTTTGCTAATCCTTTGCACTTGATGAATTTTTTCAACTGTATTAAACGTGTGACAGAAACTGTCTTTAAGTTTACTATTAACTTGAAAAATTTAGCTTACAAAATCTAGTTTAGTCAAGTGCATAAATTTTTCATATGCTCCTGGTACAGTCTAAATATATTAGTCTTTCAAAATGATATTGTTTTTCATACACTCTTCATATCTTCTTGAAAACTCTCATCAACTATGGAAAGCGTTTGCAGTCGAAAATGGTTTTCACGCCTTAGAAAAAAGTAATACTGTAGTTAGACATAAACAGGCTTACTAACCACCACTATCATAAAATGCGACGAGCAACAAAACTTTGAAATACGCCACCTTTTTCTTTGCGTCTGGGAAATAAATTTCACTGGGAAACGTTTTTCCGCCAAATAAAACAATATTCAGCTCCCTCCCTCTTCACTAAGCTTGATTTC